GTTCTTGGTAGGAACTTTAAAGTATTGTTTTACTAAATTATATGAGAGGTCTTGATTTGCAGTGATAGACAATTACTTATTGGAGCTGAGACTGTTGATATGAAAAAATGGCCAATATTGCTGCTTATTCATTGAGTGTTACTCATGATTGAGAAGCTTTGAGCCTGAAGCTTCACTTGCTATTTTAAACACTTTACTCTTATTATATTAAGTGCTCCTTCCATCGTCTCATTCTTGAATTTTAAGTTTCCCTCGTTTTTGGAATAGATGCCACTTTAACATATTGTTTGCCAAACACTTTCTGTAGAAGATATCATATCACAAATGGATGGTTTTTTGTTATTGTATTTTCTTGCACAATGAAGAAAATGGTTCATGCTATTTTTATTTTTTCCTTGTCTTTAACTTTTTGCTTTCTCCTTAGTGCAAGATATATGGGTTGTCACAAAAACAGTGCCCGTACTTGGACATGAGAAGTAAAAAATTGCTTAATAGTGTAGATATATATACATACCTCTATGTTTCTGTGAGATTGTTAGACCGGTTTGTAAGTATATACCCCTATATCTTTCTCTATCTATACGTTTATATTTTTTGAGAAGAAAACAGAGAAAGAAGAGCCTTAACAAATCTGCACACTGTAATTGTAAGTGCTTTAAATTTGAATTCTTGGTTTTTGGGTCTTCAAAGTTGTATTTCAAATTTACGACTTTGAATGATATGGTTATGGCTATGTTCATTTTTTCTCTTTGTTTACTTTCTGAAAGCTTTATTGATGTTTACAATGCACTTCTGGTCAATTTTTATTTAAATTTAATATATAAATATTTTTTCGGCTTTACTTATGATTTTATTGGACATAAATACAGGTGTTGTTGGCATGGAAACAGATTTTTACTTGAATTTTTTAGGTGACACCTGTGCATTCTGCTATTTATTCTGATGGATAAATTTCACTTTTGGCAAATTGTAACAGGTAAGCTGATGCATTTGTGTCATTATTTGGAAGAGAATTCACAAATAATGTTGTATAATTTTTTTGTTTGACTGCATTTAGAAGTGAGTTGCTTCCAATAATGTGTCTTTGTGTATGCTGTTGAACGGTATGATTATATTTCTCAGTTTGTTAGGCTCTGAAATATATTTTTTCAAGTTTGATTGTAAAATATCTTGTGGCAAATGAATATTTATCCTTGCTTTTAAGTGAAAGGTCATTGGATGTTATAATGGATTTTTATGTTTTCCTACATTCCATAGATTAGATTTTGTTCGGTCAAAATGTAAACGTGAACTTCAATTTTTAACATAATAATATTCTGAGCGAGTTGTTCTATTGAGTTGATTATTTATGCTATCAATCTTGGAATTTTGAAGATGCACATATATAACAGATGACCTATAAATTGTTATATTAATAATGATAATGAAGTGTGCCCCTTACAATCGATGCTCAATCCAAATGTTAAGTGTGGCATTGCTCTTATACGACATAAGACTACTTAAAATGCAATTAATGATTCTCTTACCCTCTTAAATTTTTAGATTGAATTGACCTTTATATATGTGTGTGGATAGATAAATGCCAGGTGCTCATACTACAGAGGACGATGCAAGATCAGAGCACCTTGTGACAAAATATTTGATTGCAAGCAATGCCATAATGAATCCAAGGTCTTTTAAGTATTTTGTTTGATTTTGTTTGTTTTTTTGTAGTTGATTAAAACAATATTACTCTGCTATTGCTACTGTTGTGAGCATGTAATTGACACCAGAGAGTTCAAGCTAATTTATTATTATTTTTTTTTCAAATTATTATTGATGACTGTACATATTTGTCCTACTTTGTTGGGAGGTTTTATACACCAATGGATTTTGTAAGGTCTTTTGTGCTCACTTATCTTGAAGACTTGTAATGGTCTGCTGCTGTAGCATTTTTGTTTGGAGATTTTGATCAGGATTCTACTTTTTCACTATAGTTTTAATATGTTCTTTTACATGTTTTATTGTTTTAGCTATTGTTAATCTTTTATGACTACTTACTGGATACTCTGTATTATTTTCCTTTCAATAAAATTGAGCATGCACCACTGTCACCTTTCTATGCTACATTTGATTTCCTGTTAAAACTTGCTCGAACAACTGGCACGGGCCATCGTGTGAAGCATGAACCCTCACAACTAGTGTATAATAAGAGGGAGCTCATACCTGCTACAGTAGTAGGTGGCTCTCTTTTTTTCTTCATTTTCTATCCTTTTGTTTTGTGCTTTGGTTGTTTATTTATTTTTTTGTTTTTTTCTGGACAATTTTGCAACTTACAACCTTGGGAGTTTAACAATGGCTCTGCTAAAAAAAAAAAAAAAAACTCTATGAAGGAGAGCCAGCCACGTATACCATCCTTTTACACCACACAATTTCTCTTCACTTCACTTCACTTCACTTCAGTCTATGCATGCGTATCTCATTTTCTCTCCGTACTGCAAATTCTTCACCTCTCAGTCTGCGTGTCTCTCAGTCTCTCCTCGTCCAGAGAGATGTCCACGATTTGGACTATGGTTTGAGATCTTGATGGCGATGAGTTCATGATCCCAAAATACTACCAAAGATGTGTTCAACTTGATTTCGATTTTGGATTACAATTTGGAATTTCTATGAGAATTCGCCCAACAAAATTAGGGTTTCTTCTTCTCTTCGGGTACAGTACATAATTTATTTTTTTATTTATATTTTGTTGCAAAAAAAAAGGGCTTTCGCTTACAACATCTCATCTTCAAAATCGAATCAACATAATTAATCATGTATGGAAGTTCTATGAGACTCGTCTAACAAAATCAGGATTTTTTTTCTTCTATTTTTTATGTACTGTACACAAATTTTTTTGTTTGTTTGTTTGTTTGTTTTTGTTGTGTAACAAACGTTTTGTTTTCATTATTTATTTATATTTAATTTATATTTGTTAACGATTTTCTTTCTTTCTTTCTTTTTTTCATTTACTTTTTTTTTTTGAAGGGTTGTGTGGTTATCATGTTTTGTCTTCTGCATTTCCTGCTGGATTCGACTTCTTTCTGTTCAGGTAAGAAAGGCTTTCTCTGTGTGGGGATATGTTTCGGGCAAGAAAATTCATTTTAATTGTTCAAAAACACAAGGCATTAAGACTTGTTTGGATTAGGTAGATATCTCCAGGAGCATGGTAAGCCATGGAATTTTAGTTTGTTAAGAATAACATATTTTGAAAATTAAATTAAATGACTTATTGACTAACCAGGATTATTATTATTTTTTATTATTGTGGTGACTTTGGTTGGTTGCAGTGTCTGAGTGATGATGAATAAAGAGACACACAGGTTATCTAAGATTCCAGATGAAGTTCGAGTGGAAAATATGTTGTACATTGCATTACGCACGGACACTTCTTATTTTTGTTGTGGTTATTGGATATGATCAATAAATGCTGGGCATCTTTTCCTATAGAATACATAGCTTGAGTTTGTGAGATTGCTGAAGGCATATAAACAAAGTTCGGTTGGTACATTGTTTTGTCTTACTTTGGAGGCAATTGACGTTGGTGTGAAGAAAACGTATTTTGCAAAAACTTTGAGAAATGGTAGCTAGAATTGCTGATTGGAGTTATAATCATTTCAGCTTTTTCCTAACAAGATTGAAACATAATTGGCAAGCCAGGTAACCATTTTACAACTTTGTAAAGTCTCACTTTGATCGAAGTCTTATACATATTTAGAAAGATTGCACAACAATTATTTCTTGATTATTGTATACCTTAACTACATGTGTGTTACTTTACTTGTGATGGACTTTTGTTGTAGTTGTACATTATTACGTTTGCGAATGGAAATTGAATTAGAGATGTCATTAAACTGGTGTATTATGATTGAAACTTGTTTAGAAGTGATAATCATTGAATTAGAGATGTCATTCATTTCTAACATTTGGCAGCTTGTTTAACAAATTATAGCTTTTCTTCTTTTGATTATTTATTTATTTGTTGATGACTGGGTGTTCGGACCGACTTATGCGCACCTCAATTGATCTCGGGACCCACGCAAAGTGCCCTCTCCAAGTGGATCGGGAAAATCTCAAGCGTGACCCCAAGGAATTAAAAGCACCTAGTTTTAGTTTAACCTGAGACCTGGAGGGAGCACACCCCCACGCCTCAAGTTGCACCCACTAGGCCAACCCCTTGGGGTTTCTTCTTTTGATTTATTGGTAGCTTTGTATCAAATGACTGTCGCTCACCCCATCTCCCCAAATGGGGCAGTTTTTGTTGTTGCATAACTATATAAGTTTTTGTTTCTTGCCCTGCATCATGGCAGAAGCCTCAAAACACACTCGCTGGTGTTACAACAAATGTCTAAATCAATTGTCTCTTTTGTTATACCTCTATATACCTTCAAATCTTACTCATCTTATGTCAATTGTCTCTTGCCAATCAACTTCTTGTCGCCGCATTGCAACCATCAAAATAGAAAATCCGCACGCACTAAGGGCCTATTTTATTTCAGTATTGGAGCATAGGATAGATTGTTAAATTAGTTATATGTGCATTTTTGTGTTTGGATGGCATAAATAATGGTCGACTTAGTAATACGTAGAACTTCTAATCTCATAGTTTGGCAAAGGCTACAACTGAACTTAGCCAATAAGATAAAATGTCACATCAAATCCATAATCATTTCACTTTTTCACTCATAAACATCACATCCAACTACAAAAAAATATAATCATCTTCCCAAATACAAAAATTTTAGTTTACTAAAATAGCTAAAAACTAAAATAACCTACTAAAATAGCCAACTTCCAAACAAGACCAAAATCGTGGAATATTCAATACCATATAGAGGTAAGTAATAATAATCCCACTCTACTAATTAAGTTGAACAATCAATCCAATAGATTATTAATCCTATCATTATTACTCCGACCAATCAAACAGGCCATAAATACCTTAGGTTGCTACTGCAATATAAACTTGTGTTCACACTGTATTGTATTGCCTATAAAAAGCATGCTATTTTTGTAATGAAATTTTATGAAGTAAATAGAGAAACAAATTTCTTCCCCATCGAACAACATCAAAGTATTATTCAATTTAATAAGGAAAAAAAAAAAAAAAGAGCAGACATATATAGCCTTTGATGAAAGAATACATATGAGTTGATACCAATTATTTCGTCCTTGATCAAGTATCAAAATAAGTTCTCAAAAGCCCTTCAATATTGTGTTAGTTGTACTATTACATGCCAAATAAGTTAATGCTTGAATAAAGCCCTAACTTGGATGGTTCCTACTCTTTATTACTTTTAAAAACATGTACCCATAAATTTATAACAAAAAAAATAAATAATAACTTTTTAACAATAAAGATTATCGCCAGGCGCAACACCAAGTTGGTTGCAGTATTCTTGGTAGTACTCAACACGAGCATTGACTGTATTTGTGTTTCCACCATCGCATTCAAGTGCACCGTTGATGGCTCGGATTGTTTCACCAAACCCTTGGCCAGAAACTATGATAGAGTGAACTTTGTTCATCCAATACCACAAGGCGGTCTTGAACGACACAGCTGCATCTGTCGCAACAATTTCTGGATTGTTGAGTCCATCAAAGCCAATGCTCTTTCCGGCAGGACCATAATTGTAGTTCCATGATAGTTGAAGTGGGCCTCTTCCATAGTAACCCTTCCCAGCTACACAGGGATACTGTGTGTTATTCTCATCACAGTAGTCCTTTGAGGCACCATCTATCTCTTCTATGTAGCAAAAATCTGCACAACCGCACACAAAAATTATCAACTATATATGCATGCAATGGTCCTTGCACTTATGTTTGGCCACGTCTAAAAAAGTCATATCTTTTTTTTTTGAATTTTTTGTTTGTAGTGAAATTTATTTAAATTTGTATTAGATCTTTTTTTTAAGGTCTATCTAGTAGTCTACAAGGATCTTAGAAGTTTTTAAAAACAAAATCCAAAAGAAAGTTCATTAAAAAAAATCAACTTTTTTAGTTTTTCTTTTAATGAACCTTTTTTTTTTAAATATTTTTTTTACTTTTCAAATCGTCTAGTCTATTATATAGTGTAGCGTTTTTGCCGTTAGATCATTAATTGAAAATTATCTTAATTGAAATATTGTACTAAAATGGGGCCTTCAATTTTGTTGCCATGGTTTGGATTGTACTAAACAATTTTTATATTTGTCTACTAATTACAACTATGTTTAGTGCTGAGTAAGGAATCCGTGAAATCCGTAATCCGATCCAATTTAGTCCAATCCAGTAGGTTTGGATTAGTTTTTTGAATCCGTGGTTCGGTTCCGAATTGAAAAATTAAAAATCTGTTGTTCACGGATTGGTTCTGGATTGAATCACACGGTTCCGGATTAGAACCGATCCGGACCGTATACAAATAGTCTATATTTTTATTATACACCCTCCTGCATAGTATCTTCTCTTATTTCATATAAAACTTAAATCCAAACCTAAACTTGCATAGTATTTTCTTTTATTACTTTTGTTTGCTAGTTTTTAGTGTTAATTTGTAATGGTCTAAATACTTATGGTGGAGCTAGTTTCTTCATGGTTGTTTAAATTCTAGAACAGTTTATCGCTATTATGAAAAGACATGTTGCTATATGGTGCTATATTTATATTTTTATGAAAATAACATTACTACAAAAATAGTTAAAGATCACACTTTGACAAAAAAAAAGATCTCACTTTTATTGGAAGTGTGATAAGATGTCTTGTTTGACATGACAAGTTAGTCCCTTTTGCGAGAAAGGTTTTGTTTTGAATTTTTACACTGCATTATACTTAAAATTGAGAAGTTTTTGATTTACATGAGACTACCTGTAAGAGCACTACTCTGAAAGAAAGAATTCACTTCACTTCAGGCTCTCATTACTAATTTTTGGTATCTGTGTAACCACACAGTTCTCATTGTACAACTACATATAAATTTGTTTGCAGATCATTCTCGTCACTCATCCCAGGACTGGTGATCTAAGGGATTCCCTGAAGTATATTTACAATTTGTAAGTTGAATAGGTTGTCAAGAATCCACTCTATAGTCCAGGAACTCCAATCAGGTGAGTGATATATATTTTCTATCTTATTTGTATCATTGTGAAACACTTATATGATGACCTATTAGCTAAGGGTTTTAAATGCTGCATGACACCTCAGAGATTTTCTATGTAGAAGTTAATTTGATTGGGTTGTTGTCCCTGACGGGTGCCTTCTACCATTTTGGAGAATAGTTTTTGAGCAAAATATAACCAAATAGAGAAAATATTGCAAGGATTAATTTATTCAATCTAAAACAAGTTTCATTACTGACTATAAGTGACACCGAAAAAACTTGAATGGTGTAGACTGTATTGTTTTAGACTAGCACAATACATTGATCTATAAGTGAGTGGATGTATACATATTACCCCTACTCTCTTTGTTGTGTCGTGCTTAGTATCTAATCTTTTATTAAATGTCTTGTTTCTCAAATAATATTGTCATTTTCTACAAGTACATATCTTGAGTTTTAGATCACTTTTTTGTTTTATTATTAAATTATTCTAGCTTAAGAAAGTTTGAATTCATTCATGCCTTGATGATTTATTTTGGCTACTACAAGGGTATCAATATCTTTTGTAGCTTTATACTATTTGTGTGGAGAATCAAAATAATTATGTGATTTTTGGTGGCTGTGGGGAAAGGATTGGGGCAGTTTAACAACTGGATAAATTACATTATTTTTGGTGTGATCTAAATGTAAGTTTATAAATTAAATAGTAAGTTTATTCATATGCTTCTGGCGGTTTTTAAATTAATTTGTTTTTTGATTTTTCAGGTCAGAAATTTCTTGGAGAGATGCAAAATATGGTCAAAGAATTCAAGAACTTACTTTTTTTAAGTTTTTTATTTTTTATTTTTTAATGTATGTAATCACAGTTAATTTTTTTTTATTAATTTCTTTGTATATACTTTTAAACATTTAACTTTCATTTATGAAATATATGATATTATTTCATTCAATATATGGATGTGATTCAAAAAATAGTATATAGTGTGTATTACATTATTCAAATGCGCGTGCAAAAATAATATTGATTATTCTTTAAATATGTCAAAATTTGTTTTTTATCACAGGTTTTATTAGTTATTAATCACACTTAAAAGGTGTGATCTAAAGTCTTTAATCACACTTAAAAGGTGTGAACTAAAGTTTTTAATCACACTTAAAAAGTGTGATCTAAATGTTTTTAATCACACTTAAAAGGTATGATCTAAAGTCTTTAATCACACTTAAAAGGTGTGAACTAAAGTTTTTAATCACACTTAAAAAGTGTGATCTAAATGTTTTTAATCACACTTAAAAGGTATGATCTAAAGTCTTTAATCACACTTAAAAGGTGTGAACTAAAGTTTTTAATCACACTTAAAAAGTGTGATCTAAATGTTTTTAATCACACTTAAAAGGTATGATCTAAAGTCTTTAATCACACTTAAAAGGTGTGAACTAAAGTTTTTAATCACACTTAAAAAGTGTGATCTAAATGTTTTTAATCACACTTAAAAGGTATGATCTAAAGTCTTTAATCACACTTAAAAGGTGTGAACTAAAGTTTTTAATCACACTTAAAAAGTGTGATCTAAATGTTTTTAATCACACTTAAAAGGTATGATCTAAAGTCTTTAATCACACTTAAAAGGTGTGAACTAAAGTTTTTAATCACACTTAAAAAGTGTGATCTAAATGTTTTTAATCACACTTAAAAGGTATGATCTAAAGTCCCAGAAGGCAATCCAATAGGTGCTGCTACACAAAGGATTTTATTTTGGCAGGTAGGAACCAATTATGACTTCAACGCATAGCATTGTACTTCTGCATTTTAAAGGCAACTTCAGAGATGGATAACTTTGTAGCTTTTTTTTTCATTGAATTAATTTTATTTCCAGTGTATATACTTCAGAAGGATCAATTTTTGATTTTGAAATTATCTCTCATTTATTATACAGAACAAAACAATGCAAATGATGTATGAGACCATTTACAAGGCTTTAGTGGAGGTTGGGCTTCAGAATGAATACACCTCACAAGACTATTTGAACTTACGTTCACATTTGGAAAGCACTGGTGTGCATTGTTTGTTGTTTGGTCTTAAATTACAGATGATTGGTTGGTGTGCATTGTTTGTTGTTTTGTTTTAATTAAATTATTTTAGAATTGTAGAGCGCTGGCGTGCATTGTTTGGTATCCAATTTTAATTTTTTAGAGTTGTAGAATATTAGCTGTTGTGCATTGTTTGGTTAATTTTATTTTATTATAATTGCAGAACATTAGGCACGAGCATTGTTTGGTTAATTTTATTTTATTTTATTATATAATTTTAATTTTAATGAACATTATAAATTTTATATGTTTATTCCTTAATTTGCATTAAGACTAGGGAGAGTTGTTAATTTACATTTGAATTCTGTAGATGGTATGGTACAAGCAAACATATTAAAAGTTCTTTAAGAAGAAAAAATGTTACAGACTCCACATGTTTTAACATGATACCTATATAAATTACAAATATATTTCGATCTCAATAATATTTATACCGTGCCTTTAGGCACGGGCATACACTAGTATATATATATATATATCACAAGCCAATGGAATGTCCTCATACTTTGTATTTGTAATATAATAATACAAACCATTCTGGTCTTCTCTTCCGTCTCTTCTCTCCCCACCGAATTGGCACCCAAAAAAAAATAAAAATGCCAAGAAATGGCTCAGTCGAGGAATCGAAAGTACCGTTGCTGGACTATTCATCATCAAACACAGTCCGGTCAACCCATGAAGAAGATAATCAAGATCTTGGTCTTACACAGAGGGTCTTGATTGAATCAAAGAAGCTATGGCACATAGTAGGCCCTTCCATGGTCAGCCGCATCGCCTCCTTCTCCATGTTCGTCATCACCCAATCTTCTGCCGGCCACCTCGGCGACCTTGAACTCGCTGCTATCTCCATTTCCTCCAATGTCATCCTCGGCTTCAACTTCGGCCTCTTGGTACTACTACTCAAAAATATGCTCAAAATTTGAAATATGTAAATCAAATTCATATACCAGTTATGATGGATGTAACATCAAATTTTATTTCTAAATTCTGAACATTTTTTAAAAATTTTCTAAATATAACATTTTCATTATTACTTTGCCTTCTTCTTCTTCTTCTTCTTTTGTTTTTGGTTTTATTTTATGACGGAGAAACCCAACTAGCCCATTCATTCAAATTCTGATTACATAACATTTTTCTTACTACTCTCATCTTTTATCTTTATTTATTTTTAATTTTTAAATTTTTTTTTTTTTTTAGAGAACATACCCCGTCACTAAGTACAAAGAAGATTTGAGATATCGATAAATATGTGCTGAAATTTTAGACTTTCGGTATGCAGTTATGTATAAAACCATTGTACATGGTACAGAGTATGATCCTTGTCTATTTTCTCAAAAGCATAAGCTTGATTCGGGTGTTGTATTGTATGTATTATTAACAGTTGGGGATGGCAAGTGCTTTAGAAACACTATGTGGGCAAGCATACGGAGCAAAGAAGTACCAAATGTTAGGGATATATATGCAGCGTTCATGGATAGTTCTCTTCATATGTGGTGTTATTCTTTTGCCATTCTACATCTTTGCCACTCCAATCTTGAAGTTATTGGGACAGCCTTCAGACATAGCAGAACTATCGGGGGTTGTCTCTATTTGGATGATTCCACTTCACTTCAGCTTTGTGTTTCAGTTTCCTCTCCAGAGGTTCTTGCAGAGCCAGCTCAAGACCGCCGCCATTGCCTGGGTATCTGTGGCTGCTCTCGCTGTCCATTCCTTGGTTAGCTGGTGGTTTGTTTACAGGCTTAAGTTTGACCTCGTTGGGGTTGTTGTTACTTTGAATTTCTCTTGGTGGATTTCGGTGTTTGGACTGTTTGCTTACGTTGTTCTTGGTGGCTGTCCTCTTACTTGGACTGGCTTCTCCATTGAAGCCTTTTCGGGTCGAGCAAGGATCCTCTAGAGTGATTTTTTCCTAAAGTTTCCTAAAGTGCTAGAGTGTATGGTTGAGATTTATTGGCAAGTCACATCAATTTTTCTGATGTGACTTGTCAGTAAATCTCAACCACACAATATAGCACTCTAGGAAACTTTAGAAAAATTTCACTTTAGAGGATCCTTGGTGTTTCGGGTCTTTGGGAGTGGTTCTTGCAGAGCCAGCTCAAGACCGCCGCCATTGCCTGGGTATCTGTGGCTGCTCTCGCTGTCCATTCCTTGGTTAGCTGGTGGTTTGTTTACAGGCTTAAGTTTGACCTCGTTGGGGTTGTTGTTACTTTGAATTTCTCTTGGTGGATTTCGGTGTTTGGCCTGTTTGCTTACGTTGTTCTTGGTGGCTGTCCTCTTACTTGGATTGGCTTCTCCATTGAAGCCTTTTCGGGTCTTTGGGAGTTTGTCAAGCTCTCTGCTGCTTCTGGGGTCATGCTGTGGTACTCTCTCTCTCTCTCTCTCAATAAAATTTCAACGTTTTCACAAATGTGAGATAAATATTCGAAATGCGGTTCCTTTTAGTTGGATCCCTAATTTTTAGTTATGAGAAGTTATATCTTATACTTCAAATTAATTTGCAATGTAACTAATCATTAGTATGAAAAATCCATATAAACAAATTTGTGTTTGAAATTCAAATTAGTTAAGAGGAGTTACAAACTTTATAACAATGTGATAGTTTTAAATTGATGAATTTAAATTATAAAGATATGTTTGGAATCTTATGAGGTCGAAATGAAAATCTCTAATTTTCTTCTGTGGAAGAGAGGAAGACCACATTTGAGAGTGGAAGACCAATTAAATTTAGAATTACAAAGTGTAGATGACGAAACAAAATAATTATAGATTTTATATATGAGAAAGGTTAGAAACACAAAAAAAAATTATTAAAATTTTGTGTTACATGTGTGTGGATCGCGTATAGATGTTAGTCTAACACCCACATAAAACATTTGACAAAAATTTTAATAAATTTTTTAGACTCTTTAACATTTTCCTTCATATATTTGCTATTAAAAAATGTGACATATTGCAAATTTATGCGAACCACGTTAAAACACTGAATAGATGAGTGAGTGACATTTCAACTCAAATATTAATAGTAATTTGGTTTGGCGATTTTCATGGTTGTTGAACAGTTTGGAGAATTGGTACTACAGAATACTGGTATTGATGACTGGAAACCTGCAGAATGCTGAAATTGCTGTGGATGCTTTGTCCATATGGTTAGCTACTTACTTGTTCATCATTACTTTTGTTTCTATAATCATTATTAACCAAAGTTCTGTTACAAATTTGATTATTATCTAATATGATTCCTTATATTATTATATTATCTAATATTCATACAATAACTAAAAATTACAGTGGATTATATCAGTATACTAATATAATATGAGAACTTGCATTAGATGGTGATATCATTGTTATATTTAATATTTTATTTTAGGATTGTTTTGAAAAAATGATTAAAAGTTGACTTTTTATTTATTATTTTTTTTAGCTTTTTTTTAAAAAAATGTATAAAAATTATGAGAGATGATTTGATTCAAAATGAGTTAAAAAGTTAAAAGACGACTTTTAGCCATTTTTTCAAAATAACCCTTATCATAATGACATGTAAAATAGTAAATAAATTTGACGTAAAAATTTAATCATTACAACATTACATTATCATTAGTAACAAATTTATTGTTATTATTATTATTAGATGATGATGACTACACATTATAATAAACCAGTCACAAACTTTTACAATATCAATTATAAAATTTTAAATATTTTGTTATTTTAATTTGTGGTGAAGTTATATATTTTGTAATTTATGTTATGAAATTTTATAAGAAAATTACAGATTTTTGTAGTAGGGTGCTCATGGTATGCATCCCTAAAGACCCTAAAGGGGTGCATACCATAGCATTTTCTTAAATTAAGATTTTGAAGACAAATTTAGAGACAAAAGACAAAATATTTTTATCACTGAAAGTATCATTATTATATTTTAGTAATGAAATAAAATATTTAATGATGAATTATTATCCTTTTGCTATCAAATTTTTTATTTAAAAAATAAACCTTTTCAAAATAAATTATTTTGCCTAAAAGTATATATACTAGCGGCAGTTTAAAATTTTATTGATAAATGGTCTCTTTTTTATTTTTCAAGATAATCTTTTAACAATTATTTTCACGACGGTGGATCTCCAAATACTTTGTGCAACAAAAAATTTACTTTTAAAGTTAACAAAAAATTAAGGGGTATTTTTTTAAGGTCCCTGATATTATGATTTTATAGTATAAATGACATCAAATATTTCATGATGTCTAAGGTCCCTCAACATCAATCTAGAGAAATTTCAGTCCCAGAGAAAATTGGTCCAGAGAAAATTCACGTCATAGAGAAAATTGGTCCAGAGAAATTCTGGGAAGAATTTCTCTGGACCAACCCAGAGAAAATTTAGTTCAAAAACCAGAGAATTTCTCTGGTTTCAACCCGGAGAAAATTCAGTTAAAAAATCAAAGAATTTCTCTGGTTTTAACTTCAAATAAAAAAAAATTCAATTCACAATTTGGAACCTGGAATGCTTAACTTAGAACCCAGAGAATTTCTTTGGACCAGCATTGCTATTGCTTGTGGTGAACCCAACATAACTGCAATTGTTCCAGCACTTTTCCATACAATCGCTAATGCTTAAGCCTGAATTATCGTCGCGGTCATTGGATTCGACCGAGTTGGAAGTGAAGGCTCGGAGCAATAACGAGATGAAGAGGACTTTTACTTTACTGTTTTGCCTCTTGTAGAATAGAGAGATGCTGAAGGTTTCGAACTCCAGGTTTATCTTCTTGTTCAACATCTTCATCAACCTCTATATCAGTAACTAACAGCACAAATGATGCACAAACTTTATTACCAAGAAACAACAACAATACCAAAAGCACACATGTACAAGAACACATCATTTGTGTAGTTGACAGATATAATGCAAGTTGTAGAAGGGGAAATTGAATCAGTTTCTCTGGACGAATTTTCTCTGGACTTCACAGAGAAATTCTAGTTTACAGAGATTTTCTCTGGTCCAATTTTCTCTGGACTTCACAGTTCACATAGAATTTCTCTGGTCGAATCCTCAGACGATCGTTTGTCCATTTTTGGCCAGATAAGAAACAGACAATGAAGATTTTACCACTGTAGATGCCATCAAGAAGAGGCTAAAATTAACGACTCAGTATCATCAAATTCTAATGAATTTTTTTTATAAGCAGCAAGTTCATTCAACAAAGAATCAATAACATTCTCACGAAATCCAAATTGCTAGTTTTGAATTTATACCTCAGGTGTACTCACATTACCTTTCTCAGCAGAATCGGCTGCGATCAGCACGTCGGTGGCAGCGGTGACTTTGGAATAGCTTCGGCATAAGAAACCATGAAAATCTCTTCTAGTTACCATGTTGTTCTTGTGTGATGAAATCCTAGAGAGATAAGTCACAGCTCTGCTCCATCTCGGCAACATCACGATTGCAATCTGTCAAATTCAAAACAAACATTTTACCAAAAATATGAATTGAAGAAGAACCATTCGTGAATAACTGCGTCTGCGTGTATATATAAAGCAAATAGAGAACCTGTAAACAGAGAGCTAGAGAGAGATAGACAGAGATATGTGGATTGCAATCTGCTTTGCGTCTGTAATTCGAATCCTCAGACGATCGTTTGTCCCAGCTGTCATTGATGTAGGAGAGAGAGAGAGAGAGAGAGAGAGAGGAAGCAGAGAGTGAGAAGAGAGACCAAACTTAGTGGAGGTGAAGTGATGAGATCGGGGGAGAGAGAGAGGTGGGAATTTCTCTGTGATATATGGGTGTGGGAGTTGAGGGACCTTAGACATTATAAAATAATGTTAAAACCTATCACCTACTTCATCCACTTAAACCTACTCCACTAAACCTAACCCACTACACCACTACCACCTCACCTACTCCACTAAACCTAACCCACTACACCACTACCACCTCCACTTCACCTACTCCACCTATCACCTACTACCACCTACTCTTCTATATATAGGAATCATTGTAACATTCAATATACAATCAATCAATAATACAATTCTCTATTTCTCTTTATACATTAAATTTCTTCATGGTATCAGAGCCATAAGATTTAGGCCCGTATTTTGTTTTCTCACCGGCGGGCAGCCGGCCGGCAACCTTGCCTTCGCTGCCCGCTGGCGGCACCACACCTGCGCTGAAGGTTGCCCAATTTAGGCGGAAAGTTTGCTCGGTATTTGGCATTGTAGTACCATTAAAACTCTGCAGAACTTTCTCTCTCCCACTCTTCGGCAGGTCCGCTGCGCTACTCCACACCCCCACTCATTTCATATTTGCCCTTATCCACCGCCACAGTTAACAAATCATCTGATTCAAGCTACTTCTTCTTCATAATCTGCTTCTTTATAGTGCACCTTGTTCCAGGTGATAATACTGTAGATGGCAGCATCATCAGCTTGCCTAGTGGGAAGTGGTTTATCTACCCATAGTACTAAACCAAGTTTGGGCAAAGAGATCTATGGCAGGCGCCTTTTTTCTTCCTCTAGCCTTCTGTCATTGGGTAAGTTATTAAAAAGAAATTATGTAACAGCATCTCTGGACCAAAGGCACCATGAAGGAAGAAGAGGTTTTTTGAAGTTGTTACTCGGAAATGCAGGACTTAGTGTACCTGCCTTACTTGGTGGTGGGAATGCATATGCTGATGACCAAGGGTTTTCTTCCTCCAGGATGTCTTATTCTAGGTTCTTGGAGTACTTGGACAAGGACAGAGTCTTTCTCTTCTCTCTCTTACTTTTCCAAAAAGGTATTTTCAGAGCTTCTCACTCTAGTTGATAGAATACATTAACTGTATGTATTGAGTGATTGTATATAGAACCAATGTGTTTATATTTGACGGTTGATAGAATACATTAATTGTATGTATTGTGTGATTGTATATAGAACCAATGTGTTTGTATACGTTATGTATAGAGGAGGAGATGGGGGATGTACTCCGCGGTTTAGGGGAAGATGGGGGATGTACCTCTAAACCGGATAGTGTTGGGAGGAGATAGGGGATGAACTCCATAGATACAGCTAATATGCTTGTCTAGAGAAATGAAGATAGAGCTCATACGCTTATCTTTGAGAAGTGTAGATATAGCTCATATGCTTGTCTAGAGAAGTGAAGATAGGGCTAATATGCTTATCTTTGTGAAATATGGATGCAGCTCATATGCTTACCTGTGAATGTGGGATATAGTTCTTATACATATCTGTTGTGATGATGATAGAGCTAATATGCTTATCTGTTGAAAAAGGGAAAATGAAAGGTAACTTGGACTCATAAGTCGTATGACATAAATATGTGATTTATGTGAATGTATCAGTGTTGGCCATCTATCAATTGCTAATCTTTTAGTCATTGTTCATGGTTGGTTTAGTGTATTTCTACTGGGCTGTGGCTCACCCTATATGGGAATATCATTTTCAGGTGCAGGTAGCATGCCACCTTCAAGGTCATAGCTTGGGAGGCTAGCGGCGAGCAGATTTTTGTTGTTTAAGTTCCTTTTGATGTATTACATGTATATTCAAGCCGAGGGCTTAATGTGTAGATGAGTTAGCACTCTTTTGTTGTAACCAAGTGTTAACTTGGAAAGCTGTAAGCCCGTAGGGCATTTTGCTTCTGTTGTTAACATGTAATACTTTTGTAATGAAACTCTGATGAATAGAAGAATGTGGATATTTCGTATGTCAATGAACGTTTTATTTGATGGGTTTAATGTTATTATTTTGAGGGCGTTACAGTCTCACTATCTCTCTCTCGCTCACGACAGTTTTCGCAGCCATTCACACAGTCTCTCTCTCTCTCTCTCTCTCTCTCTCTCTCTCTCTCTCTCTGTGTGTCTTAAAATGACATAGTCACAGAATAAGGTTTTTTCCGCCTTTTGGTACTCCGACATCCTCTGCCCCTCTTCTGCACCGACAGTAGAAAGGAAGATCAGAAAGAAAAGAGTTATGATTTTTGATCTTCATCATTTTGATCTGCACAGTTTGAGTCCTCATCAACCAATGTCTGCGTCTTTGGCATTCACAACTGAAGCCATGAAGTTGTTAGAGGAAGAGCAGTTTCTTCAGTTGAATAAGTAAATTCAGTAATTTTCTCTATATTCCTCTTTCTCCCCCTTATTCTTCTTCTCTCTCTAATCTTTGTCTCATTGAATTTCTACAGGAAATAAAAGGACCCGTTGCAACCGAAGCAACCCATGTCTGCGTTTTTCATGTTCAGAAGTGAGCGAATAGCAGAGAGCAAGAGTGGCTGGAAGGTAATTGAAAAATGGAATAACATGACAGAGAAACAAAAGAAGCCGTATGAAAAGGTTCAATTAACTATGCCTTTCTCTATCAATCTCCCTCTCTCTCTCTCTCTCTCTTGTTGTCTCTGCAACATCAATTTCATATTTTGGGAACTTGCAGATTGCAAAACAAAACATGGAAAAGTATTTGGAAGAAATGGAATTACCATATAAAATTGTCTATATTTTTTTTTATCGTCATATGACATTGTCTATATGATAATTGATCTCGACAAATAAGAAAAATCACAACACACAGTCGTCATTTGTCTTTTAATTATCTAATAATGGTATAAATCTCCACATTTCAGTCATACAATACTTTACGACATGATTAATTTAGAATATCACAATGAAAATCTCTTCTAGTTACCATGTTGTTCTTGTGTGATGAAATCCTAGAGAGATAAGTCACAGCTCTGCTCCATCTCGGCAACATCACGATTGCAATCTGTCAAATTCAAAACAAACATTTTACCAAAAATATGAATTGAAGAAGAACCATTCGTGAATAACTGTGTCTGCGTGTATATATAAAGCAAATAGAGAACATGTAAACAGAGAGCTAGAGAGAGATAGACAGAGATATGTGGATTGCAATCTGCTTTGCGTCTGTAATTCGAATCCTCAGACGATCGTTTGTCCCAGCTGTCATTGATGTAGGAGAGAGAGAGAGAGAGAGAGAGAGAGAGAGAGAGGAAGCAGAGAGTGAGAAGAGAGACCAAACTTAGTGGAGGTGAAGTGATGAGATCAGGGGAGAGAGAGAGGTGGGAATTTCTCTGTGATATATGGGTGTGGGAGTTAAGGGACCTTAGACATTATAAAATAATTTTGTGGATGTCTTCCATTACGAAAAATGGGAGAGGGACCCTAGACCAATTTTCTCAAAAATTAACTCCTAAAACTTTTAATGTAGTGACAGTTAATTTTTGTTTGATTTGATTTTTCATTATGTTGTTTGTCTTTTTTTTTCAGCATGAATATTAACGCATGGGAGATGATGATTCCTCTTGCATTCTTTGCCGGAATTGGGTAAATCCTTTCTTATATAATTGCTAGAAATTCATAATTTAAATTTCACAATTCACTTATATTAATATAGTAGTATAATTGTGTCTTACATAATTAAGTTTAAGATAAATTAGAAGTTAATATATAATTTGTTGGGTTCTCTTAGGAGTGCATACCATATGCACCTCTATCACAAAATATGTAATTTTACCATAAAATTTCGTAACATTAACTATAATATACGTAATCTCGTCACAAATTGATGTAACAAAAAATGCTATAACCAAACTACAAAATTTTAGACATTTTGTTACGTCAATTGTGATGATATTAAGTATTTTGTGATTAATGTTACAAAATTTTACGATAAAATTATACATTTTATAGTAAGGTGATACAATATGCACCACTTTATCATTTTCCTAATTTGTCATGTCCTTATAAATATAATTTTAAAACTTAAATTGTGGGTCTTGGCCTCGTTTGGATAATTAACATTTTAACTAAAAGGTTAAAAAATTACTAAAAACAATTAAAAAGTCCAAAATAATAATAATAATAATAATTCATACAAAAAAAAATCAAATATTCATTCTCAATCATTCTACTTTTTACACTTTTTTTTATTAAAACGTTAAAAAAAATAAAATTATTTCTAAACATATTAATTTTTTATTTTCTATTTTAGTCAAAAGGTTAAAATTACCTGAAAAAGGGGAAGTTATTTGATAGATACCTCATGTTTGTTGTAATTGGTGAAAAAAAATAAAGTCTCCAATTTTATATTAAGTGATTAAAAAATAACAAAAGACTCAAAAGTATAGTGACGTGGTGGTCTCCACAAAATAATATTTCCTGAGAAAGATATTTCTTATTGATTATGGTCTTCATGGCTCCACGTATTGTTCATTCCTCTACGCAACTCAAAACGATGAGAAATTCTAACATATCCTTTTAATTTAAAGGTACCTATCATATGTCATTTTATAATTATATCACAATTATTCATAATGAAATTATAAAAATTCATAATTTCGTTTATTGTAAACTTTCAAACCTTTTTAATATTTATAATATAATTAAAATATTTCCTATGGTATGCCTCTTCCTAACTAAGGCCTTGTTTGGCAATCTTGATTTTTGGTCAAAAAATCATTATAAATTATTAAATCGTTCTCACTAAAAAAAACCCAATTCACAAAAAAAGAAAAAAGAAAAAAATCATAATTATGAGTTTGTGTAGTGGTTGAATCCAAGATGGCCAATATTTATGAGGTATATGGTGAAAATTTATTTGAATTTCTTATAAAGTTATGTTTTATAAATCAAATTTTTATACAACATTCTCAGAAAGAGTTATATGACTATAATCGTGACATTTCAAATCAGAACATTCTACATTTAAATTTAACAATTTAAAAAATATTATTATAATATCATTCTAAATAAATATCGTTTACAAGATAGTTTGAAGTATATTTTTTCTTCTTCATCTTTTTATATATTTTTTCCGTCTCAAAATATTAGTCTCTTATTTCATTTTTTATTATCCCAAAATATTAGTCTCCTTTTTAAAAATCAAGTACAAAAATAATATAAATTTTCTATTTTGTCATTTTTTTAAATTCATTAATAACATAAAAAGTACAATTATGATATTGATATTTCTAAAAAATGTACTATTAAAGGGTAATTTTGAAAAATCATTTTTTTAAATGTAATAATTATATTACTAAAAAAAATTAAATTCCTCAAAAAGGAACCATTATTTTGGGACAGTGGCAATATACATTAATGGTGTACAAAAATTAACATTAATGATATTGGTGTCGATTTGAGTGGTACCTACCCATACTTGACTTTGCCTCTGTTTTTTTTTTTTTTTGAACAAAGTCTTTGGTTATAGCTATGCAACTATTAATGGTGTTCAACAACCAAGTTGCTGGCGAAGAAGTAAGGTTCTTCATGTCAATCATTTATGAAATAAATTAAATCGATTTTATAATTATAATTTTTTAATTTTATTACGTTTTTCTTTTAAAAAAAAAATAGATAATTTATTTTCAAAAATAAATTTGTCTGAAATAAAGATGATAAATGAAAATTTTATGATTATCGGATCGAATTAATTTTTTTTTATAAATAATATATATTGAGAGTTTTATAAAATGAAACATACCCCTCAAGTTCTCTTAAATTGAAATGTAAACTTGAGAGAAACCTAACTCTATAAGGGTAAATTACAATATATCCCCTAAATTATTGTTCATTTACACATTGTCTCTTTGAACCTTAAAACACAATACTTAACTAACTCGAACTATTATCATGTTATACTTAATATCTTTAGTTAGGATTTTGTCTCGAAATTTAAACGAAATCAGGTCATGTGTAACACTTAATAATTTTTTTTAGAATAAAAATACGAAATATTGATTTTTTGAAGACGACAACATCCTTATCTAGTGATTCCATTTGCACTTTGAATTTTTTTTTTTTTGATCAGCAAAAGTTAGTGATTAGTTGTTAAATTAACACTTTGGCTCACTTATCTTAGTAACAAAATGAAAATGGAATAAAATTCAATAAATGTTTCATGTACTGCACATATGATCTGATTTTGTGTAAATTTTTGACAGAATACTAATACAATTGATTAACTATAACCTGATAATATTTTAAGTTAGCTAACTAGTGAATTTTGAAGTTCATGAGGTAAAATATAAACGGATTGTAATTTAAGAGAGTTTAACGTAATGTACCCATATTATAATGGTCACATTTATAACTTTTAAATCAATGTAATGATAAATTAAGAAATAATATTCACTTTATGAACATCCACAACAACATATAAAGATTTTAACAACTAAATTTTTTGTTTTTAAAAGTGAAAATATTATTAAATAAAATATTAAGAGATCAATGGTAGTGGTCGAGTGAATCCCCCCAAAAATGCAGGAGAGGATTTTTTTCAGCTGGATTTCTCAATTGGAGGGTGTTGTTGGGGCTTTATAGGCCTATTATGGAGTCTACATCGATGATTCAAAACGTTTAATGTATAGAGCTCGTCGAGTATTTCATTCCTGTAAAAAATTATATTGATCGGATATCGATTATCATTTGATCAAATCATAATTGTATCAATAATTTATTTTTAAAATTATAATTACCATTAATACAAATGTAATTTGATCAAGGGTTTATGGATATCCAATGAACATGATTTTTTGTAGGGATAAGTATTCGATGAGCTCTGCCCATAGAAGCCTAATAGCACCCTCAATCCTATATGAATTGGAGAGAAACTTTTTTCCAAAAAAGCCATCATAAAAAAAAAACTTTATTTTATTTTTTTATAATTTTCATAATACTAGTTTTACCTTCATCCCTACCATTGACTCTTCTCCTTATCTCCAAACTTTTCAAACCCTAGTGTCTTCAACTCCACCCCATCACTACCACCTCCACCGGCCCACCATCGTCACTACCAATCTACCACCACTACGCCATCACTTTGGTTTGGTCTCGGTGCTTCGAGTCTCATTGCCTACTCCATTGACAGGCATAACCTTATCCTCCCAAGGTTCAATACCCAAATCTTATAAGAACAAAAATATGAACAAATCATATAAGAAGGAAGATTTGAGAGAAAGAGAGACAGAGCTATTGAACAATGATATAAAGTTTTAACAATTCAAAACAAAAGCCTCAAATTTTTTTTAAGCAAATACATATATGGAGTTGGTTTAATTTGTTTCAGAATTTAAATCAACACATCCTTTATATATATAGAGAGAGAATGTAACAAAATGAACGTCAATGCCTTTGTTGGGAGATTAGTGTCAATTGAGGAGGAGTAGGGTTTCCCTTAAAATTACTAGTTTCTCAAATTCCTGCACATGCAGCTTCCAATGTTTGCACAGCACAATCACAACATGAAGCTCGAGGTTTGGTTTTTCAGATGGGTATGAAAGCAATCAATCAACGCATTGTTATGACTTCGATAGTAGAATTCATCTGTTGAAGTTAATTGTATTTCGTGGTTTATTTGTGATTTCAAATAGGGTTATAATTTTTCTAATCAAAGAATGTAATGGCGATGATGAGATTATGGAGTTAATGGATGCAATTACATGCGGAACCTTTGTTATTATGTGTGTCAATTTCCGACCACACTACCAAATTAGTACTTAGTTGGAGAGCACTGCCATAATAGATTAAGCCCGAACGACCTGTAACAGAAAGAAAAGATTCCGACGGTGGTACGTCCACCCGGGGACACTCCGACGATCAAGTCAGTTATCTCTCAAAGATAGCAAAAATGCTTAACTCACTATTCAGAATAAAATTGCGTACCTTAGACCCATGGGGGTGCCTCCCTTTTATAGCCAATACAATCCTAGTCCCAATAGAAGCCTAGCTCCATTGGACTTAGGATTATTGCTAATCTTGGACTCCCAGTAGGATTGGGATAAACTTTCTAAGAGTCTTATCCTTACCCAATATTGAAGTCCCATTCAATCCAGGACTCTTGTCCTTTATCTGCTTATCCCGGACTCCGATATCTTCGGAGATAACCTCGGCCTAGCCGAGATCACCTCGGCGTCATGACTAGGACACGTGGCACCTCGGCTGACACTTCGGCGTCACCTTGGCCACATGTTGACACTCAGAAAAATATGTCCCCACAACTGCCCCCTAGGTTCTATTACCTCGGCATCCTGAGGTGATGGAACCTATATCGTCATATCGTATAGCATGTCGGCTATCTTGCTCTATCATCTTTACCGAGGTCATAATACATCGGCTCACACGACCAGGTCCTGTAGTCTATCTCATCAAGGTTTTTAGAACCAATAACCTAGTTTATTCAAGTTATTTAGCCGAGATCTTCCTACCAGCTGAGGTCATTGCATCATTAAACCAAGAACTCCAAGAGTTTTATCACGCGTATGAGCTGTTACACATAACATTTCAACCGTTTCTACCACGCGTCTGTCCCCCACTGGGCCGTGTCT